AGATATAAAACTGAGGAGTATTCTCATACTGCAGTAAATAAGTTTAATGTCATCCCTGATTCTATCCCTGATTGGATATTTGATTTTATGCCGATGCGCGGTGGATACTTCATCGGGAATGTCAGTCCTGCAAGGATGGATTTCCGATGGTTTTGTTTAGGCAACTGTATAGCAATTCTATCTTCTCTTGCGACGCCTGAGCAATCAATGGCTATTATGGATCTTATTGAAGCCCGGTGGGACGAGCTTGTTGGAGAAATGCCTTTGAAGATAGCTTATCCTGCAATTGAAAGTCATGAATGGCGAATTATCACCGGTTGCGATCCAAAGAACACGAGATGGAGTTATCACAATGGAGGATCTTGGCCAGGTATGACTTTACTTCTCTAATCTGGAAAGGGCCATCTTTGTCTTAACATTTACTGTGATGTATAACAGTCATGAACTTGATTGATCATTTTATTTGCATAACTAGGTATGCTGTAATATTCAATTCTAATGATCCTTCTTTTTTCTTCATCTTGCAATTTTCCGCTATTTGGTATGCAGTGCTTCTGTGGTTGCTAACGGCTGCTTGCATCAAAACCGGAAGGCCGCAAATCGCAAGACAGGCGATTGATCTTGCCGAGACACGTTTGTTGAAAGACGGATGGCCGGAATATTACGACGGAAAACTCGGGAGATTCATCGGTAAACAAGCAAGGAAGTATCAAACATGGTCAATAGCTGGATATTTGGTGGCGAAAATGATGCTAGAAGATCCATCACACTTGGGGATGATATCTTTGGAAGAGGACAAACAAAGGAAGCCATTGATAAAGAGATCATCTTCGTGGAATTGCTAAGCACTCGAACTAACAACAAAAGCACCACGAATGTTAATGTTGATACTCATATCAAGATGTTATTTGATTTATTTAATTACATTAGTTTTTTAAAAAAAGATTAATAACATAGACATCATAACATTTTGAAATTATTCAATCAAAATATATGATCATTTATAATTTACAGCATCAATTACGTGACATGAAGAGCTCTAAAATACCAACTGAACGTTCTCATTTTTTTGGGATAAAGTTTTGACCATGGTATAGATTCATTAAATCAAAATATAATGACGTTTTGTACCAAAACGGAAAAATCAAATATGACATTTGCAAGGTTATGATCTGTAATTTTTTTTGGGTTAAGGGCATAATAAGGTCTACTTTTATATTAAAAAAAAAACCTCTCTGGCATGGAACATTCAATCAGACCAATATTTAATATGCAATTAATTCAAAGGTTCATTTGTCCCTTAAATATATTTTTCCCGTTTTGCTCCATAAACTATTTTTAGAACGTTTTACTTTCTAAATTATAAAAATTTGTTTAAACACACTTCAGACAATTTATTAATGATCATCAGTGACGTTCAGGGACGAAATGATTAAGATGGGTTGTTCTAACACATATTTTTTTTGGGTATAATAGCATTTTAGGTTTTTTTTAATTTAATATTAGTTAAATAAGGCTTTTATTCTTTCTAATTTTTAGATATAAATACTTAATAGATTTTTACTCTTTTGATATAAAAGAATTTTGTCCCCTCAACATTTGATTCTAACTCTATCTCTGGTAATGATAACCTCGTAAAAAGGCTATATTATGTGTCTTTTCACTTAGGTTATTGATTGTCTTAAGACTCATTTAGGTTCATATTGATGCATTTAGGATCATATCATTGCATGTGGTAGAGCTATTATGTTGCAGCATCTTATTTTGTCAACTGGTGCTGCTTAATGGGGAAGGTTGTGCTTGGTTGTTAATGTGCAGGTGATTGAAAGCAAAGGAGAGCAAGGAGATTCGTTGTAGCATTTTGGATTGATGAAGTAGTGGAAAATGTTGTAGCAGTCTGGACGACATTCATGGAAGCAGAAAATGACAAAAGAGATGAAGATATTTTTTTTGAAGGGCCAACTGTTTATCCCACACGTGGTCCCCTTCTACAAACTGTCGTATGAGGACCACAATCATCATTACACACCCCTTCACGTCAAGGGGCTGATACCTGGGTACAAAGGGAATTTGGTACAAAACCCTAGGTCATTCCCCTAGTATAAATAGAAAAGGATACCCTAGAATTAAAGGAGAGTCTTTTAGGAAAAGGGTGAGGTAAGCAATAATGAAAGGAGACTACCAAAGCTTCCGTTTTTCTTTCTCTTTTCATATTCTTCGTTGTGTCCTCCATACCCAAGCTTCAAGGGGTAGCAAGCTAGGCCTTTGAGAGAAGCTAGGTTGCTAAGGTGGTTCACGGTGGCCCAAGGGAGCTCACGGCAGCGCGCTCGTTAGGAGTTTGCTCTATCCTTGTGCTTTCATTTCATTTTTAATTTGTGGGTTGTTATGGAACAAATTATTTCTTAAATTATTTGTACCCCACCATGAGCTAACCTTATTTGGTGTGGGTTAACTATGGATGATTAAGTTTTGTTTAATGAATGGTTGATGTTTTTATGTTAATATTTTCTTTGCTCATTGTATTTATTTACTTAGGATTGTAAGAGATTACGAGAATAACCATTTCTTGAATTTGATGCTTAGTATCGAAAGAGCTAAGTGAGATCAACGTGAGCAATGAGGCTTAACTGGTATCTAGGTCCTAATTCAACTTAGAGTTAAAGATATGATTTCAACGACTAAGAGGGGTAGTACTTAATCAATAGGAATTTGCTGCAGTTCACGCTAAAAGGTGTTGTCATAGCATTTTTCTCTATCAGGTTCGTTACTAAAGATAGCCTAGGAACACTTTCAGCAAAATCTGTCGAGCAAATAGGCCATAAAAGCTTAGACCATCCCAGAAGACAAGGCTTAGGATTCCTTAGTGACCCTACCAATTACCCCTAGTGTAGCTTGTTTATGTGAGGTTGTCAACTATCTTATTCATTCCCAAATTCTCAATTTAATTTGCTTTAGCATTCTTGAACTGTTACTTTTTATTTTGCCTCACCATTTCTTACTTGATACTTTCCATATTACCATCACATTTTCATACATCTTATACATTCCATTTTGTTGCAACATTCCCAATTGTTTATACCATTATACATATATATTTAGATTTAGTTAGTGACACATTTTTGCTACAGCTTGCTTAAAAAAATCCCTCCAATCCCTGTGGAGACACTACTCACTCACTACTATATTACTTGCATTGATTGTGTATACTTGCACAGAATTGCAAGCTATATTAGTACACTCACACATATGATCAAGTTTTTGGCGTAATTAACGGGGATTGGCAATTGGTGATTTTTAGGTTTAGATATAACATTTTTTTTATAATTTTACTTGTTATTTTTGTTTACTTTTTTAGGTTTTGCTATTGCATGACCAGAAGGACTGTTGAAGAACCATTGTATCCTTTAGTACTTGAGATTTAACACTTATTCTTCGAAGACAAGGTGCTTAATATGCTAATATATCCATGTACGGAGTTCAAAATCAAGGATGCTACAGATCCAAATATTGTAACAAATCAGAATAATGGACTTGTACCTCGACCAAGAACTATTCTATATCACTTAGCTCCTATATTGGATGATCTCAACCCTAGAATTTTAGCTCCAGAGATTCAGGCAGCCCATTTTGAGCTTAAAACATTCATGTTCAACATGTTGAATTCAATAGGACAATTTAGTGGAATACGTCATGAAGATGCAAGGCAACACATTCATAATTTCTTAGAGGTTTGTGATTCTTTTAGGCACAAGGAGTGCATGGATATGTGTTGAAGCTTAAATCATTTCCTTATGCTTTGTATGATCGAGCAAGAGCTTGGCTTAGTGAAGTTCTATCTGGTTCGATAGAATCTTGGACTGGTCCATGTAAAGTTTTTTTTCTGCAGTATAATCCACCCAACTTGAACACTCAACTCAAAAATGACATAGCATCATTCCGTCAAGTTGATGATGAGTTTATGTATGAGTGTTGGGATCTATACAAGGGATTTCTTCGCAAGTGCACCAACCATGGACTCCACAATTAGACTTAATTTGTGAGGTTTTATAATGGAGTGAATGTACCCACAAGGATGATGCTAGATCCTTCAGCAAACGAAATTTTGCTAGATAAGTCACCAGAAGATGCTTTTGGCATTCTTGACAGGATTTCCGAAAATGATTATCAGTTTCCCTCTTCAAGGTTTGGAACTGGGAGGAAGACACCTGGGACATTTAAATTAGATGCTAAAGATTCAGTGGTTGCCCAATTATCTGCTATCACAAATATGTTGAAAAACTTGCAACCTTCCAGCAAGGTAAAAGAAGTGAAGGTGGCCAGCTCAACATGTTTTTTATGCCGAGGCAATCACCATGAGAGTGAATGCCCTGACAATAAAAAATCTATTAATTATGTGGAAAATTTCAACCGAGGTAAAAATAACCCCTACTCTAACACCTACAACCCAAGATGGTGTCCTCATCATAATTTATCTGGGGGTAATCAAGGAGCCAACAACAATTCCAGTAACTCGAATAGGCAACAGTAACAAAATTTGACTAAACTCCAGGTTTTCAATCTAATATGCCATGGCAATATTCTAACAAGGGTTCAATATCTTCATCAAATAAAAACTATTTGGAAGCTACTCTCCATGATTTTATATCTTCTACAAAGGCTTTACTGCACGAACATTCCTCAACTATTAAGAGCCAAGACACTTTATTACAAAACAAAGCAGCATTGTTGCAAAGCCATAGCTAATCGTTGAGAGCTTTGGAGAACCATGTGGGTCAAATTTCTATATCATTACATTCTTGCCCACAAGGCAGTCTCTCGAGTGATACTGTAGTCACTAAGGCTCATGGAAAGGAGCAATGCAGTTAACTCACACTGAGGACTGACACCCAGCTTAATCAAGGAGATAAGTTTTGGGGGGAAGAAGATAGATTATCCTAACCCCAAACCTATACAAAAAGAACTTCAGTTTCAAGAAGATATACTTGTGGAGAAAGACAAGGATGAGGGCTCAACAAGTAAACCTACTGATGGAGGAAAAAAATGCCACAACAAAAGTTGTTCCCCCACTAGCAATGGAAGAAGTTAGACCCCCATCGTCTTTCCCTCAAAGATTGAAGAAATACAATGATGACTTTCAGTTTAAGAAGTTTATAGATATCCTTGACCAGCTATACATCAATTTTCTACTCTTGGAGGCCATTGATCAGATGCTTACATATGCTAAATTTCTCAAGGAAATTGTCACAAAGAAGATGAAGGTTGAGAAGTATGAGACAATTGTTATAGCAAAAGAGTATTGTTCTGTGCTAAGCAAGCTACCACCAAAGAGAAAAGATCATAGCAACTTTGTCATTCATTGCTCTATAAGAGACAACTATGTTGGAAGATCCTTATGTGATTTTGGATCGAGTGTGAACTTGATGCCCAAGTCAGTGTTTTTGAAGCTTAGAATGGAAAATACAAGACCGACCACCGTTATTTTGCAACTAGCTGATCGATCCCATATTCTTCTTGAAGGGATGCTAGAATATGTCATAGTCAAGGTGGACAAGTTTGTGTTCCTACCTGATTTTCTCATGATTGCGAGGCCGACGATAATGCACTCATCATTTTAGGGTGACTTTTTCTAACTACCAATCACATCCTTATTGATTATGAGAATGGTGATTTCACTATGAGAGTGTCTAATCAAAGCATGACCATAAATGTGTTCCATACTATCAAGTATGTGGATGATTATGAGGAGTGCTAGTGTGTTCTAGACATGGATTTAATGGTAAAAGATGAAACAAAAGATTTTTGCTGTAATAATTTTTTTCATCTTGCAGACTATGTGAAGCTTAATGGAGAAGAATGTGATGAGCTCGAGGATTTCCCGATTGAGGTACAACAATCTAGCTTACTAGTATGTAGACCGGGTACACACTTTGAACCTCTAGATTTTGATGAATTTGTTCCTCCAAAACCTTATCTAGAGTATACATCCACCTTAGAGCTAAAACTTTTGCCATCAAATCTTAAGTATGTTTATTTAGGTAGCAATGAAACTTTACCTGTGATAATCTCCTTTAGTCTTACACTTGAGCAAGAACATAGTTTGATAAATGTCTTAGCACAACAAAAGAAAACTCTAGGTTGGACTATGACTGATTTAAAGGGGATAAGCCCTACTATATGCATGCACAAGAGTTTGCTTGATGATTGCCACAATAATTCTGTTGAACCATAAAGAATGCTCAACCCTGTTATGAAGAAAGTGATGATGAAAGAAACCATAAAATGGCTTGATATTGGTGTTATCTACCTAATATCCACTAGTTCATGGGTGAGCTTGGTCCAATGTATGCCCAAGAAAGGAGGCATGATCATGGTGAGTAATGAGGACAATGAGCTCCTACCCAGACGCACAGTCGCTGGATAGAAGATTTATATGGACTATCGTAAGCTCAACAAGATAACTAAGAAGGATTATTTTCCCCATCCCTTTCATCGAACAAATGTTTGATGGATTGGTGGACAAGGCTTACCATTTCTTTCTTGATGAATATTCTGAGTACAACCAAATTGCTATGCGCCAGAGGACCAGAAGAAGATAACCTTCACATGCCTCTATGGTACTTATGCCTTTAGGAGGATTCCCTTTGGACTATGTAATACTTTAGCAACTTTTCAAAGATACATGCTAGCCATTTTCTCAGACATAATTGAGGAAATTTTGGAGATTTTCATGAATGACTTCTCCATCTCTGGATACAACTTTGAGCAGTGCCTTGTCAATTTAGCAAATATACTCAAGAGATGTGAAGAAGTTAACCTCGTGTTGAACTGGGAGAAGTGTCACTTTATGGTGACCGAAGGCACTGTTCTAGGCTTCAAGATCTTATAAAAAGCATCGATGTGGACAAAGTAAAGATTGAGGTGATTGAGAAGTTACCTCTACCAACTAATGTGAATGTCATTAGAAGTTTTTCTGGACATGCATGCTTCTATTGGAGATTCATTAAAGACTTCTCCAAGATCTCCAAGCCATTATGCACTTTGCTAAAACATAATCAACCCTTCAATTTCAATAAATTTTGCTACAACGCATTGACAGAGCTGAAACAAAGACTTATCTCAGTACCCATTGTTGTTCCCCTTATTGGACTTGACCATTTTTGAACTGATGTCTGATGCAAGCGACTATGTTGTGGGAGCAATGCATGGATAACCCCGAGGTAAGATTTTTCTTATTATTTTCTATGATAGTCGTACCTTGAATGAAGCACAAATTAACTACACAACCACTGAGAAAGAATTACTTGATGTAGTATTTGCAGTTGATAAGTATAGTCATACTTGATAGGCCCTAAAGTTCTTGCTCATAATGATCACTCGGCTATTAAATACTTTGTGAACAAGAAAGATGTCAAACTTAGACTTATTATATGAATTTTTCTATTGCAACAATTTAACTTAAATGTTAAGAATAGGAAAGGTATTGAGAAACAAGTTGCATATCATATCTCTAGGCTAGAGAGCAATATTGAGAATTCCATGACAATTTAGAAATCAAAGAGGAATTCCCTGAAAAGAAAATTTTATTTGTCATGGTAATTCTGTGGTACGTTAACATTGTTAACTTTCTTGTTAGTGGTATTTTGCCTTATAATTTGAACAACCGGTGCAAAAGAAAATTCAGGCATGATGCAAGATTTTATTTTCCCTAAACCCTTCTTTCACACATTACCTCCATCTTTAACCCCTCATTACTTTTCAATTTCTTTTATTTTCTTTCTTTTTGTTTTCCTTGTTTTTCATCAACTCTATTTCTCTCTCTCGATGTCGTCTATCTCCATAGAAAAAAGCTTCAAGTTTTTCTTCTTTTGTTATTCTTACAATATTCATCATGGTAAGAAGCCGACCAACACCTCCAATCGGTCATCCGCCGTAGCCATTTAAAGATGAGGAAGACATGGAGTGGTTTCAACTCGTAAAGGGCCGCCGTATACTTCCTGAGCAAGGCTTCATATTTAGCGAAGAAGATGGCTTTGGACTAGAGGTAATGGACGTGGTGAAGAGACACATGTGGAAAAGGTTTGCTCAGCACCTCGGGAATGTTAATATCTCAATCCTCAAGGATTTTTATGCCAATATTATCAATTCATCTCAATGTTCCATCTATGTTCGAGAGAATGACATGTAAAGTTTGTGAACGAAGGAGATAACAAGTGTTACTTAAGGGTTCTTGGAAGATATTTTCTTTTAAGGAACTAAGTGGCGAAGAAGCCAAGCTAGTCGCTACACTATTGAGAGGCGATGCCTAATTCCAAATGCCAAGTTGTAGAACCAATTCCACAAGAGCAAGCTATTGCCCACATCCTATCACGCGATAGTATCACTGTAGCAAATGATGTTGTTGTACTCTATTCTGATGGGGTGATTCATTGACATCGAGCGGGTCATTTTCAATGAGGTATATGCATACTTAAAAAATGCTAACCCTTTGGTCTTCCCAAATCTGATCACGACCCTTTGGTCTTCCAAAATCTGATCACGACCCTTTTCTGTAAGAATAAAGTATTTGAATATGAGTTTGACGAGATGAACCAAGGTACATGAATGCAAATGCAAATCAATAGTTAAAAAAGTATTTGCAAATCAATACTTAAAAAGTATTTGCATTTGTATTTGCATATCATAACATATGAATTGCATTGCATATCATAACCAAGGTAGTGTTCTTAGTTAGCATTTGCATTCATGATAATCAATAGTTTTTGATATAGCATATTTTTATGATTTTTAGACAGTTAGCGAAATGAATTAAGAATGCCCGATGATGATAATAATTTTTGTGGCTATCATGAACTGAATGTACATGACTTTGAAGTTGGATAGGATTCGCTTTAGGACCTAGTTATTTGTACTTTAATTTTTACACGAATGTATACTCTCTATGCTTAGGAATTTTAGAATTTTTTTAGGAAAGAAAACTTAAAAGCCTTAGTATATCTTAATGTGAATGAACTTATTTGCTTAAATTAAACTCCCAGATGTTTGTTAATTTTGAATAAATTCTTCGACATAATAGTATAGGGACACTCTTCTATGCTACAATATTTATTGGAAACCCCCTTTGAATAAATGGCAGTTAGATGCATATGAGTGAATAAAAGTAGTCACATGATGACTCTGCCTGACTAGCTCGGTGATGGAATGTTTGCTTCAATTCATCTAGAGTATGGGATGGTAGTTGTGATAGGCTGACTCCCCTCATAGCAATGCTTAAAAAATTAATTTAAAGTTAAGTTAGTTGGGAGTAATATACATGTGCTTTAATTTTGAATATATGCTACGGCAGAATAATAGACTTCCTTAGAATTTTTCTAAATTGAGTAAGCATAGATTGGATACAATCACGCACACACACTATAAAAGACCTTGTCCTAGAGTAATATTCTTGAAATCTCCACTTGTCTAGCTTGTTGAAGTCGATACATTTCTGAGGGTTGAAATTTAAATCATACAACAGTCTTGATCTCAAATTTTCTATAGCATTTTTCTGTTGATTATTGTTCATTGGTTGAGGACAAGTAATAGCTTAAGCTTAGAGGTGTGATAACCCCGTTAAAAGGCTATATTATGTGCCTTTTCACTTAGGTTATTGATTTTCTTAAGGCTCATTTAGGTTCATACAGATGCATTTAGGATCATATCATTGCATGTGGTGGAGTTGTTATGTTGCAACATCTTATTTTTTCAACTGGTGTTGCTTTATGGGGAAGGTTGTGCTTGGTTGTTAATGTACATGTGATTGAATGCAGAGGAGAGCAAGAAGATTCGATGTAGCATTTTGGAATGATAAAGGAGTGAAAAAATGTTGCAGTAGTCTGGACGACATTCCTGGAAGCAAAAAAGGACAAAAGAGATGAAGATTTTTTTTAAAGGGTCAGATGTCCAACCCACACGTAGTCCCCTCCTACCAGCTGTCATGTGAGGACCACAATCATCATTGCACGCCCATTCACATGAAGGTAATGATACCTAGGGTGCAAAGGGAATTTAGCATAAAACCTAGGTCATTCTCATAGTATAAATAGATAAGGATACCTAGAAATAAAGGAGAATCTTTTTGGGAAAAGGGTGAGGTAGACAAGAGTGAAAGGGGCTACTAAAGCTTCATTTTTTCTTCCTATTTTCATCTACTTTGTGGTGTCCTCCATATCCAAGCTTCTAGGGGGTAGCAAGATAGGCCTTTGAGAGAAGCTAGCTTGCTAAGTTGGCTCACGATGGCCCAAGGGAGCTCACGACAGTGCGTGTGTTGGGAGTTTCCTCAATCCTTATGCTTTTATTTCTATTTTTTGGGTTGTTATGCAACAAATTATTTCTGTGGATGATTTGTACCCCACATGAACTAACCTTATTCGGTGTAGGTTAACTATGGATGATTAAGTTTTGTTTAATGAATAATTGATGTTTTTATGTTAATATTTTCTTTGCTAAATGTATTTATTTACTTAGGATTGTAAGAGATTATGAGAGTGACCATTTATTGAATTTGATGCTTAGTATCGAAAGAGCTAAGTGAGATCAACGTGAATAATGAGGCTTAACTGGTAACTAGGTCATAATCCACCTTAGAGATAAATATAGGATTTCAACGACTAAAAGGGGTAGTACTTAATCGATAGAAATTTACTGCAGTTCATGGTGAGAGGTATTGTCATAGCATTTTTCTCTCAGGTTTCTTACTAAAGATGGACTAGGAATACTTTTAGCAAAATTTGTTGAGCAAATAGGTCATAGAAGCTTAGACCATCCAAGAAGACAAGGCTTAGGATTCCTTAGTGACCTTACCAATTATCCCTAGTGTAGCTTGTTTGTGTGAAGTTGTCAGCTATCTTATTCATTCCCAGATTCTCAATTTAATTTTCTTTAACATTCTTGAACTATTACTTTTTATTTTGCCTTAACATTTTGATGCTACGTAAAATGCTATAACAATCACGCAAGTATACGTATTGTTCAAGTAATAAATTGAAAGCTATAAAAGCTTCAGATGTCGAACCCATGGAGAGTGTATGTGTTACAAAAGAGTTATTGTGGCAAATATAAAGGAGAAGTAATGAATATTTAAGTAGGTAACAAAAATATAGCAAAGTAATAAAATTAGAATGATAAAAACAGGGGAATGCTATAGCAAGAAATGGAGGAATCAGACCAATGGACCAAAGAATAATGTTGTTATATGGTAGCTAACAGAATGATTATGATGTGTCAATACAATTATGAGTCATGCAACAATTAACACATTAACACTTGTTCAAGAATTAAACACTTAATCAGTTGGAATTAACTTTCATTAAAACAACCAATCATACAGTTAATTAAGCAAAGACAGTCAACTACATACATCTCTATATACATAAGTTTACTTTCATAAACACCGATGCTGGAGCTAAGGTAGCATGTAATCTCAACGATTTATATTTCTAAAAATAATTAAGATCGACATATATAAGGATGAATCCATCTCTAAAAACATCTCATAAAAATATTATTCAAAGCAAAAATCATAAAGTAGGCATTTCATCGAACACCTTATGTTCAAATCCAAATAACATACAAAAATAATAAAACGTCCAAACTAATTTAAGTATCTTCCCTTCTCAGTAAAAGAAACCAAATTAAAGCTCGAACCCCGATCGGTCGTCGCTGCTACACGACTGCTCCACGTTGCTGGTACACTCCCTGATAAATAGCTTAGGTAACCGTGGTGATGGTAGGAGAGAAAATAAAATGGGGCTAGGGTTTTTCTAAGATGAGGACAGTGTGTAAAAATATTATATTTATAATCCATTAAATCACACTTCGACTAATAGGAAAATCACATTTTTAATGATATTTCTTTTTTTAAATTCAACTTGCAGCATTTAATCTCGCAACTTTATCACTTCCTGAAATTTCTCTAACCCCCTTGTGACTCAGCAATGCTGCAAATCGTCGCGACATTCCAATCCAGTATCACCATACAACAATGGCTACAACATTACAATTTCACAACATAAGTTTTCAGCAAAAATATTAAAATCAGCCCAAGTATCAACAATTTACTCTCACGATGCAAATGATGTAAAATATGCTCAGACAAATCTAAATATGATCCTAAATATGCTAGATTGCAAACTTAACCTAAGTGAAAAAGATATAAAATATAACTTTTTTTTTTGGAGAGTTAACACATTCCTTACTTGATACTTGTCATATTACCATCACATTTCTATTCATCTTATACGTTCCATTTTGTCACAACATTCTCAATTGTTTATACCATTATACATATATATTTAGATTTTTTTAGTGACACGTTTTTGCTAAAGCTTGCTTAAAAAAATCCTTTCAATCCCTGTGGAGACGATACTCACTCACTACTATATTATTTGCTTCGATTGTGTATACTTGCACATAATTGCATCCTATATTCGTACATTCACACACGTGATCAGGTAACATTTAAGAAAACACAACAAACATTTGAGATTATTTAATTAACGATCATGTGTGATGATTACTAAATTATATGTCCATGTGTGCTGCTTACTCAATATTATGAACATTATGACATTTACTCGGTCATTGGTGGTTTATGATCAAAAGGTTATTTTGTAATATTTGATTAACGAGCAGACTAGAATAAATCTTTATAAAGCATAAAAACATAGTTATTAATTAGAATATATTCAAACTGATATTAAAATAACTTTATGAGAATTGATTAATAATAAATGTAAACTAAAATTTTCTATATAATATTTACGTATAATAAAATTTAAACTTAAATTTTACAGGCATAAAAATTCAATCTTTATCAACTTAATTTCTAAAATCCGTTTTGTTGTTTCTTAAAAAATCAACTAAATGGAATTTAATCTCATTAGTTTTCTAAAAGGTTGTTGAGAGCGGGTCTCTTGTCATTCTTTGCTTTCTTCTTCTCTCTTTGTTTCTAATTGGTTAGTGGATGTCTCCATCTCAAGAGGCTGGATTGAGATCGAGTCAATTAAACTGGAGGGAATTGTTATCGGCTAAGGAGGAGCAATCGCTCAAAATCCCCCCAGGTCAAGGATGGGGATCTAGTGGTTAAACCGCCAGCGGAAGTCTTCAATGAAGGAATTAGTGCGTGACAGAACTCGATGGTGGTGTAATTTTTTAGGCGATCGTCGATCATCAGTTCTCTTAAAAGGTCAGTTAACCATCTTTGGATTAAATTTAGGAAAATTGAGGTTAAATTGGTTGAGATAATCTCTTCCTATTTCAATTCTCAAGCACTAAGGCTTGCGATTGGATTCTTTCTAATGGTCCTTGGCATATTCTCAATAAACCACTTATCCTTGAGAAGTGAGAGTTGGGTTTAAAGTCTGGAAGTTAGTATGGAGAAGCTGTCAGTGTGGGTACATTTTAGTAGGGTTCCTCTGGAATTATTCACTAGGGTTGGGTTGAGTTACATTTGCATACCTGAAAATGACGTTGTTTCTTGTAATTAAATAAGTGCCCGAGAGGGGAAAGGCCTGAAGGCTACAGAAGGATCAGGGTGGAGCCTTGGTTCGAAAGATCCATAGCAAGATCGAAAAAGAAAAAACTGAGAGGGGAAAAAAATGAATGAATTGGTATCTATGCACATTTATGACTTAATGGCAACAAAGTTAAAGGTAAAAAATTTAAAAAGTAATTATTTTTTTTATAAAAAAATATATTTAATTACATCTTTATAGTTGAAATTTAACTAATCACACACTTTCATTCATTAATAATGATTATATTTAAGAAAAGTTTATAATTTTAAGTCGGAGTAAATTTATAAATTCTAGGGATTAATAATAGAATATCAATAATGAATATAAAAGTATTAAAATTATAGGAAACTTTAAAATTTTCAAATGAGTCGACCATCTAAATTTATTCCTAATTAAGTTGACGGTTATCTTTTATTTACATGACTAATATAATTCTATAACGATGATATGTACCGAAGGCTTGATAAATTAACTTTTATGATAAAAATTTAATTAATTATTGAAGGGTAAATTTAGAGTAATTGGTTAAAATGAAAACAAGAACCTATATAGTATTTAGTAAGATAATAAGACCAATATGAAACTAATGATGACGGCCTTTCACCTACTAATATTTTCCATTTATTCTATTTAATTCTCAAGTCGGCTATGACTTATTTGATGGAGTTCATTTTGTTCCATTTTTCAACACAAAGCAACGCTTCTATTTTGTCTATGGCCTTCTTATTCTTTTTCTCAATACTTTGACTATTTCTAAACTTTTTTCATGTATGTCATATTCAAATTATTTTGATTAAGTTACACTTTTGACAAAAACATTAACGTATAAAAATATTTTTTGGCAAAACGTATAAGAAATTTTTTTAGACACATCATATAATTGTTTTATCAAAAATGCTTGAACAAACGATAGACATAGTAAAAATAAAAGGATCACGCTGTCTTGAATTAAAATATAAGTATTAAATCTAAAATATGAGCATATTGACTAAAGGGACTAAATCATAATTTGTCGAAAACAATAATGATTATAAAGTGTGAAATGTTGAAATTTGCTCACGATACGAATGCGGCGGATTAGGTGAATACGTGAAGGGAACCGCAAAACTTCGTCACCAGAGAAAAAATTACAGGTCAAATAGAGGAAGCTTCTATCTTATGACTTTATCAACCGTCCCTTTCCCTCACCCTGTACATATTTTATTTTTCTCAAGGCTTGCTTTTCATATGGTCAGCTGCCTCAAATGTCTTGAATTGAACTCATCATCATCAATGGCGGATCAACAGAGAATCCATCCTGTCCCGGACATCGAATCGCCACCACAAACCTCCCCGACAGCCCCCTTGGTTCCCCTAGGCTCCACCAAGTCCGACCTTGTTAACCCCGTCGAACAACATCAACCCATCTACTCCCATGTCGCTCCTCCTATGAAAAGAAGAAGAAGAAGCTGTTGTTGTTGCAGGTGCTTGTGTTGGACACTGTCTATTCTCTTGATCCTAATCGTCATTATAGGGATCATCGTCGGCATCTTATTCCTCGTTTTCCGACCGAAGCTACCGGACTATTCCATCGACGGTCTGGAGGTAACGCAGTTGAGTCTCAGCTCAGATTCTAGCCTGTCTGCTAGCTTCCACGTTAACTTCACCGCGAGAAACCCCAACAGAAGAATCGGTATTTATTACGAAGGAGGCAGCCATATAACCGTGTGGTACACTGGAACCCAACTGTGCCGAGGGTCGATACCGAAATTCTACCAAGGTCATCGGAACACGACCGTGCTGGTTTTGCCGATGTCGGAACAAATCCAGAACGGTGCCGGCTTATTGACGGCGCTGCAACAGCAGCAGCAGCAGACGGGGAACATACCGTTGTTGCTGAGGGCCAGACAACCTGTGAGGATAAAGCTTGGGAGCCTAAAGCTCCCGGAAATGAAGTTCTCGGTTAGGTGCTGGCTAGTGGTGGATGCTTTATCTCCTAACAGTTCCATCAGAATTTCGAGTAGTAACTGCAGCTTCAGGTTTAGGGTTTAGAACTCGACTTCCTTAACTGCTGGGATTATATTACTTTATTGTTTATTTATTTTCTTTAATTTTTCATAAAAATGGAGGTTTTTAGCAGGTTTTGTCCTATACTGTAGTATAAACTTTGGTTCGTTGGTATATTTGTAAAAGGGTATAATATAAAAATAAGTATCCGAATTATATTGTTGTTTTAAGCGGTGGTGATATCTTTTTTTGTGTGGATAATTTAAGTGTTTGATGTTATTGTCGCGCTTCATCTGATTAACAGTGACTTTGACCACCAGGCACAAGAACAACAACCGACGAATCCTACCCAGTGAAGAACAAAATTGCCTTGTTACCGTTTTCGACCACCACTGATTGCTACCATTGTTACAAACCACCACTCACTCGTTATTGTTCACCCAATGATCGATCACTACCCTTATCATTGCCTCAATCTCCTAAATTCCTAAAGTCTTAAAAATCCTAACCCTTAAATCCATCCATCCATCCCTTTAAACTCACCTTTGCCCATGTCGCTCGACTGTATATTACATTCCCTTAAATCCAACAAGTGAAATTGAAGCCCCAATTTTCGGTATATTGCAACACTGCAAATCCTCTAATTGCAGGATATTAAAACAGGTTTGTCATCGGTATTAATAAAAGAATGATTGTAGTCGCAATTTGATGGATATTCAAAAAGGATTTAGGGGTAACTGTTAGGGCATGGTCGGTAATAAAATCTGACGATCGGTCTGTAGGCGACCAATGATAACACAGAGATGGGATGGTCCGGGATTTGAGATTTGTAGAGATTTTAGATTTTTCTGTAATTTAAGAGACACTATTATTTTTTTATATAATAATAATTTAAGTAAATTACAAGGTTACTCACTGAATTATATATAATAATTTAGGTAAATTATACGCTTACTCACTGAATTTTATTCTCTCTTTTATTTTAATTACCGTACTTTCAATTTTTTCAATTTACGTATTAAACTTTAGAGATTTAATTTTTTTTATTCGGTCGTTTTCTTCTTATCAGAGATATTACATGGTTTTTTTTAATAATAAAACCTGATTTACAATTTAGAAAAATAAAAAATAAAAATTCTATTATCAAAACTCATCTTAAAACTTCAACCCAAAGGGGTTTTTCTCGATATATCACCCTTTGACTTTATATTTCCCTTTCAGGCACCATTCAGACTATTTTTCCCAATCTAACACTCTTTGCAGTATGGCGCGCCCCCTGCAGCGCGCTTTACGCTGATATGGCGTCACGTGGGGTAAGGCACGCCCCCTGCAGCGCGTTTTATGCTGAGTTGGTGCCACGTGGGGTATAGCGCGGGGCAGGGGCCGCGCTTTACCTTTAAATCTGACACGCGTCAATAAGGCTACAACTTTGTTAATAAATCCAACATCAACACTGAAAAATAAAAATCCCTTATTATCTCCTTTCCCACGTGCTTATTACCTTTTATAAAGGGAAAATAAAAATCTTCCCTGAAAAATGACCATAATACCCTTATTATTTTCAAACTTTGTTAATAAATCCAACATCAACACTTTTCATTTAAATCCCTGAACTTTCCATCTTTTCTGAAATTGATCACTACATTTACCAAAATTCTATTTTGGTCATTGACCCTACTTTTGGGATGTTACAGATGGATTGTAGCGTTGGGCTACAATGAACGCTACAACTGGCATTGCACTGTAGTTGCGCTATTTTTTTGGGTTTTTCTTATTTTTTATTTTTACTTTCTTTTGTTACTTTCTTTTTTTGTTAATTTGTGGAATGAATATTCTAATTCAAATAATTAAAATATATAATTATGTAACTTATGTTTTTTTGTATTATTATTAGGAATCATAATTTTCTTATTTATTTTTATTTTCGCAATATTATTTATGAATATTTTATTTATGCTTTTTATCGTGATATTTATTAGAAATGTATATGTTTTATTTTATATGCAAAATCAATATTATAATAGTTAAATATTGTGAATAAAATAGAGTTTGTGGTAATGCAGATATAATGCTGAAGATGAATTATTGTTTCATCTTTAAAGTAGAGATAGAGATCCTGTAGAGTAAAGATGAGGGCTTGAGATGGACTTATATTGTCGAATCTAGGGAATACTCTAAAAATGGTTTACTCATGACTCTAAACACCTTACCTTATTTGGATTTGAAAATTTATCAACATGACAATACAGTAAAAGTGTTCTGTAGCGGTGTTTTAGCGGCGTTTGGAGAGTAAACGCCATAATATTTTGGGATATAGTGACGTTTATATTGCAAATGCCACAAAATGATACTTTAGCGGCGTTTATGGCACAAACGCCGGTATAGATTTATTTATAGTGGCATTTTCTCAAAAAATGCCGTAAAAAACTAGTAATTTAGCAACGTTTTGAAAGAAACGCCGCAAAAGAGTAGATATTTGGTGGCATTTTTAGATAAACGCCGCAAAAATTTTAGACATGGTGGCGTTTGCATAACAAACGCCGCTATAAAACAGTAATGTAGTGGCGTGTTTTGATAAACGCCGTAATATGTTTGTTTATAGTGGATTTTTTTTATTAAAACGTCGCATATACATCTACTATAGTGGCGTTTCTATTAAAAACGCCACCACAGGGTAAATATATGGTCCACATTATTCTCCTTCCTGATCACTAAAATCATTTCAACACTGTTATCTTGAAAAGGGATTTCTCTGGTACAAGAACGACACTCACACGATTCCAAACGACGTGGTATTCTGTCTTCTCCGACGACGAAATCGGGTCTCTCATCAAGGAACAGTTATCTCACGGTTGCATGGTTTGATCCCTTCTCTCACTACTGAATTTTTTCATTTATTATTTTTGGTATTATGAAAATGGGGATAACATTAAAAGATAACGTAATTGAAAAAAATAATAGTTTTTCTATATCTATATATAGTGTTTTAATGGTTTACTGGTTGGGAGCATTGTTTTGCCGGTTTCGAATAGAAAAATAACAACTTTTGAAAACGTGAACAAATGGTTGTGGTAAAAAGAGTAGGTTTTGCCTTGAGTAAGAAAAATTATCGTCGGAATGTCCACGTGGCGTATTTGCTCTGACGATGGATCAAATTATCGTTGGGAGGCTATCAGTCCGAACTTGTCGTCCAAACTCGATGATGACCCGAATGGAACTCCGAACTTGCCTTCCATGGCTGATCTCCTAATTGAAGGTAATAATCCCTGAAAGTTTTTGCCGCTATATTTTTATTTTATACTCTAAAATTTCATAGAGTGCACGTATGTAGGATGTTCGAAGCTTATTCAGAACGATGATAAAGGAGTGGATAAATACCCGATGTTTACAACCGAATTTGGTAGCTGTGTGGCGTTGAAAGAATCTTCAATTACAAAAGTAAGAGCTATCCTCAATGAAGACGACGTTGGCTCTACTGTTACTCCAAGTAAACGTTTCTAGCATTTATTTAATTTTTTTCCAACAAGTGATTTAGTTCCCAAGCCACCTCCAATCAAGTTTCATACTGTAGGTGAAAGTTCATTATCTGTTTCAAGTGAAGCACTGAAGCGCGCAAGGAGTCTTCTTGGTGAACCAGATGTAGGGGATTTATTTGGTGAAATAGATGAAGAGTTTCTCCATATAGAGTTTACCCGGAGGAAAAACTTAAAGATACATCGTCAAACAAGGAAAACATCTTTCCTACGTCCTTTCCTCACGAAGGAGCAATGAAGACTAAATTATAGTGAACAATATGGTGAAGACTGTTTATGTATAACTTTAATGTTTCTAAATTTTAATGTCTTTTGTTGTTAAGTATTTTTATGCATAACTTCTGGCTTAATAAAATGTATGGTTGTTGTTAATTAGGTAAAAGTAAATGATAGTAAAGTTAGTTTATGTAGAGCATAAATGGAATATTTAAAATGAAGCAAACTTATATAAATTAAGGTAATTAGCGGCGTTTGTTGATAAAAAACGTCGCTATATCCATAACTTTTTGGGGCGTTTTTATACAAACGCCGCAATAGGGTAAAATCTATAGTGGCGTTTTATCAACAAACGTCGTAACATATTTGTAATTTAGGGGCATTTTTTAGACAAACGCATTTACATAGTTGTACTGTAGCGGCGTTTGAATATAAACGCCAAGATAGAGTCATAAATTAGTGGTGTATTTAAACAAAAAACGTTGCTATAGAGTGTACTTTAGCGACGTTTTTGAAAAAACACCGCCAAAGGATAAATATATGCTTTTCATGGTCGATTCCTAAAATCATTTCAACTCTTCTTTAGTGGCATTTTTATCCAAAAACGCCGCAATAGGTTCATCCATAGTGGCATTTTTCGAACAAACATCGATATATAATTGTACATTAGCGGCGTTTTAATACAAACGCCGCAATAGGGTAAAATCTAGAGTGGTGTTTTAGTTGTACAAAGTGGTTTGTTAGATGCGTTTGAATATAAACGCCGTAATAGAGTCATAAATTAGTGGCATTTTTAAACTCAAACGCTGCTATAGATTGTACTTTAGCGGCGTTTTTATAAAAACGTCGTGAAATATGTATTCTTTACATGCGTTTTTAAACATAAACGCCGCAAAATTTAACGTTTACCCCAAACGAACCATTTTGCTCTGACTTAGTTTTGTATCAAACCATTAGCCGATCCCTAACACCCCTAAAATCTCTCCCCATTTGTTCGAGCGTCCACGATACCCACCCAGAGTTTATCCTGTCGATCCCCAACTTCCCTACTGTTGTGGTCTATTTTTGCTTTCATTAAAAAATTATTGTCTATTTTTCACTGCAGAAGCATCTCTGAAGCCCTAAGCGCTTGAATTTCAGCTATAATCAGGAATCTTCCATTGAATCCTTCATAGGTACCATTGAAGTAACTCTTCTGAACTTGTATTTGTTCGGTACAGTAGAGTTTCCTGCGCATTTTTTAGATCTTTCAGTTTGAATGTCTAAGCTCCTCGAAGTGAAAAAAGTGTTACCCATCACTTTTGTTTCTGTTTTTACCTTTAATAGGTAATACTGCAGGTAGGATCACCGTTCTGAACTTGTATTTGTTTTGTTTTGCAGCCCTGCTAGTTGAGAATGGGAAATTC